TGAAGATTCCTGACACTTGGAAAAGTAAGAAATGAGTGGAGATTCTAGTTCATGTTTTATGTAGTTTATTCTGCAGTCTCTGAGGAGTTCAGTTTTGAATTTGAATTTCATTTTATTGAGGAGTCTTTTTTTTAATTCACTTGAGACAAAACCCTGTAAAATCTGCTCTGGCAGTCAGCTCTGAAAACTTGCATGTATTTCTTTGTTCCTATTGACTACTGAGCTTTATTAAAAGACTTTATTTCTCATTTGCAGGCATTTTTTGTAATACATATATGTATTAATGACAAATAGCAAAATTGAAGTGCATTTTTGTGCATGCACATGCATATATGTATGGATTTACATAAAACTCTATTGTGTTTAAATAAAAAATGAGGTCCTCTTTCTTCATTCTGTGAAGAGGGAGAAAAAGAGCTGTAAGACAGGTCTTTTCTGTAGTCCCATTCCCCTGTCATGGTTGGTCTTCGGTTTAAAGTGGAAGGTGAGGAAAAAAAAAACCTCTTTTTTTTTTAAGTTGCCTTAACTAGGAATACTATACTGTAGAGTTTGCACACACAGGCTGAGAGAAGAATTTTACTGAAGCTCCAGTTGTTCAGAAACTCAGAAGTGATAGAACTGAGATTCTCCCTACCCCATTATTATGACTTTGGTACATGTGCACTGCTCAGTTTCAAGATTTTCGAGAACTGTGGGGTTTTGGCTTTTTTTTTTTTTTTTTTTTAATTAGGCTACTCAATGTTCTTATACTCCTTTGGTTTTGAAATATTGTTTTTTCTATGCAAAGGATTCCAGCTGCAATTGATGCAAGTCTGCAAATTGAGCTGTAGAAATCAAGCAGAGTGTCTAGAAGGTAAGGAACAGTTAGGGTGAGTTTCATCTGCATTAATTCAGTCATCTGCAAGTTAGACTTGGAAGTCTGAGCTAGCTGTCTTCAGAGACAGTGGAAAGAAACAGATCAGATGAATCATCCTCTGCAGGTGTCTGTTTTCTCTGACTATGCAGAATCTTGCTTAGGATCTTGCTCAGAGAACTTGATTTTTGACATGTAGTCAGCTGATTTGAATCCCACCTGCAGTGACTACTTGTGAAGAAGTTTGACTTAACTCTTTGAAATGAAATCACTGGGAACTCTTAAGTCAGAGGAGGGGTGGAAGGAAGTTCTTCAGGGTGTCCATGCTGTCCTTGCTGCTGGATTGTCCTTTTTTTTTCTTCCTGCTTCTTTGTTACTTCCACCCTTTCAGCCTCTGCAATATGAGGCGGTACTTCTACAAGCAGTGATCTATTAAACTACACAAACATGATTCCTCCTTAGAAACCAGGCTCCTTCTTACATGGACCCTCTTGGGGAGGGGGAGGAATAGTATGTCATAATGCAAATCAGGTCTATCATAAAGTATATCGTAAAGTCAATTATTTAGGGCCACTTAAGCAATCTTAATTCTGCTTTATCTGAGTTTTGTGATATTTTTTCACACACACACATACAGAAATTTCTATATTGGAACATGAATTTTTGAAAGAAGCAGTCTAATATAAAACAGGATTATCATCAGTGTCACTAATGCCTGTTTGGTTTGTTGAATTGGGAACAGTCCGAGCCTGCAGAAATCCCTGTTGCTGGCAGTATCTGATAGCAGCTGAGGTGTTGATGGCATGTTGTGAGCTAGAACAAAGTCGTTCTTCAGGAAATTTCGCGCTGTCAAAAGAACACAGGAGCCAGATCTCCCATCTTTTTTCTGGACTTTTGAAAGGAGTGTTCCTTAGTGAATACATGTTTTTTCATATAGCTTGAATTGTCCTACCCTTCTTTCCTTTAAATGTGTCTTCTAATTCATTATTTTGGTTGGAATGGAAAATACAGTCATAATTCTGTAAGTGCTTGGAAGCAATGATGTCTTAGATCCTTACTTGCAGTATCTCCCTGTCAGGAATGACGCTTTGAAGGTATTCACTGAAATCTAATGCACCCAGGGTTTCCTCTGTATTCGATGGAAAGAAGCTCATGCAGAGGGTGGATCCAAACCCCTCTCTGTTGGCCATGCAGTGAAGTAAAACACCTGATGCAGGACTTTAGTGTAGATGCCCCTTGACTATCTATGTTTTAAAACTTACGAACTGTGCTTTATTTATTGCTGAGGTTACTCCTCCTGCGAGAATCCAGTAATAATTCTGTAAACCATGTTTTCAGCCAGCCAGTTTGAATCGGGACAGTATCAGATTGTATGATATAATCCTCTTCTGTATTGCAGATATTTACATGAAGCTTCTAACATTTTAATTTTCTTATAATCTGTGATTTGAAAAGGATAGCAGGGAATTCTCAGGATTTAGGTACTAAATGCAAGCAGTTTCTCTGCTCTTTGTATGGATGCTAATTCCAGTGTTTGTCTCGCTTTTGGAAGTCAGATGTTCTTCTGTTTTGCTTAATGGCATATTTTGTTTAAAAGCCTTTGTGGATTCGTGATAACTAACTACAAGTCAGGGTCTGGATACCCCCTCTTTCCCCTGCCAAAATTAATACTTTTTCTATTGCATGTCTTTTTTTCCACCCCCTTGTATAAATATTCTTTGCGCCTTACTTACCTTTAGCTCAGGGCTTTGGTCTTTCACCAGACCTTTATTGTCTGTGGATGTTTTCAAGATCTCTTTTATATATGAGGAATAAGAAAACTTGAAATTGATACAGCAAGTAGCAAGGCTGATTTCTTGTTTTCTGGTCCTTTGTGCTTTTTTCCCAAGTTGGCAACAGTTGTAGGAAGAGTGACACCGTGTGGTAAGGTGAAGAATTTCATTTTTCTTGATTTATTTCCCATTTCTTCTTCAGTACTCTCATCCTTTACAGTATTTTTATTTTATAATCCATCAAATGTTAATATTTTCTGTGTGCTTGCTTTGTCCTGCGTTTTTATTTTCATGTATATGTTTTACAGCTCACTAGTTTATTGCTAAATGTCCTTCAATAGAAGTTGCAGTATCTTTGAACAGTTTCTTTTACTGATAAATTTGTGGTTAGATTTTGTTCAGTAATTTTATAAATGAACGTATGGAAAAAAGAGTTGGTGAAAGTGGCTGGAAACCCAGAGGGGTCTCCATAGGAAAAGAAGATGAAACGATAGTACTGTGAAGATACTGATTATGAAGGTCTGTGGTAGACATGCAGTGTAGTGTGAGGAATAGAAAGTTTGTCCCTCTTACTGGGAAAAAAGAGGTAAATGGCAAATAAATGAAAGGTGAAATTGAAAGGCAGAATTTCCTGAGGAAAGGAAAAGGAGGTACTTTAGACCAATGTGTAGCACTCATTGCAGTCAAGGGCATAAAAATACTTAAAAGCAGTATTTTGCTGTCACTGTAGTTTCTGAGATTATTCAACATCGAGTAGGGTAAAATAATGGCTTGCTGTACTGGGTTTGTATGGCAAGGTTTTGGTAGCGGGGGAGCTACAGGGGTGTGGCTTCTGTGAGAAGCTGCTAGAAGCTTCCCCCATGTCCGACAGAGCCAATGCCAGCTGGCTCCAAGGTGGACCCGCCCGCGGCCAAGGCTGAGCCCATCAGCGACAGTGCTAATGCCTCTGGGATAACAGATTTAAGAAGGGGAAAAACATTGCTGCGCAACAGAAGCTGCAGCCAGAGAGAGGCATGAGAACATGTGAGAGAAACAGCCCTGCAGACACCCAGGTCAGTGAAGAAGGAGAGGGAGGAGGTGCTCCAGATGCCGGAGCAGAGATTCCCCTGCAGCCCGTGGTGAAGACCATGGTGAGGCAGGCTGTCCCGCTGCAGCCCATGGAGGTCCACAGTGGAGCAGATATCCACCTGCAGTGCATGGAGGACCCCACGCCGGAGCAGGTGGGTTCCCGAAGAAGGCTGTGACCCCGTGGGAACCCCGCGCTGGAGCAGGCTCCTGGCAGGACCTGCGGATCTGTGGAGAGAGGAGCCCACGGAGCAGGTTTTCTGGCAGGACTTGTGACCCCGTGGGGGACCCATGCTGGAGCAGTCTGTTCCTGAAGGACTGCACCCTGTGGAAGGGATCCACGCTGGAGCAGTTCATGAAGAACTGCAGCCTGTGGGAAGGACTCACGTTGGAGAAGTTCATGGAGGACTATCTCCCGTGGGAGGAACCCCATGCTGGAGCAGGGGAAGAGTGTGAGGAGTCCTGCCCCTGAGGAGGAAGGAGTGGGAGAGACAATGTGTGATAAACTGATCTCACCCCCATTCCCTGTCCCCCTGTGCTGCTGGGGGGGAGGGGGTAGAGAATCTGGGAGTGAAGTTGTGCCTGGGAAGAAGGCAAGGGTGGGGGGAAGGTGTTTTAAGCTTTGGGTTTACTTCTCATTATCCTGCTTTGATTGGGTTGGTAATAAATTAAATTAATTTTCCCCAAGTCAAGTCTGTTTTGCCTGTGATGGTAATTGGCTGAGTGATCTCTCCCTGTCCTTATCTCAACCCATGAGCCTTTTGTTATATTTTCTCTCCCCTGTCCAGTGGAGGGGTGGGGTGACAGAGCAGCTTTGGTGGGCACCTGATGTCCAGCCAGGGTCAACCCACCACACTTGCATGTGTTAGCATGTTACCTAGTCATGAGCCTTGGAGGGGCTGAGAAGCCAAATGTGATTTCAGGATGTGTGTGCCCCAGCAATGACCTCTGCTGACACTGCAGGTGCAGCAATGTGCTGCTGGCTATGTGCATACAGGGGTGAAGGTATTCAGCTGCTGAGTGATGTTTTCTGCTTAAAGATCTGTTTCATATTTCTCTGGAGGAAAAGGTACTAGCCTGGATGGAAGCATGGCAGAAGCCACATCTGCCCAGGGCCTGTCAGTTAGACCACACATGAGTCAGTCCATGGGTGCATTGGAGGAAGGGACAAGGAATGCTAGTAGGAAGAAAAACTTTGTTTTATACCATTGCTAAGAAAAAGGTGCTAGGCTGAATCACAGAGACTTGCTTATTTGGTAACAGTGATGTATTCTCTCTCTGCCTCACTCTATTCTTGTTTGTTTGTTTAGGTTGAATTTTCCTATCCTCCCCTAAAGCCTGGAGAAGGACATGACAGCCACAGTTTACCAGAGGAATGGAAATACTTGCCATTTCTCGCCTTACCAGATGGTGCTCACAACTATCAGGAAGGTAAGAGACAAGAGAGGAAGTTTTATGTACTACTTCTGCTGCAACCAACAATTCTTTTCACTGTTAGACTTCCCGTACTTTTTGTTTAAGCTGCAAAATACTTTGGTAATGATAATTGCTTCAGAGTTTAAAGTGCAAGTAGATCATAAAGGTGTACCTTCTACATCAAGAAATCGGATGTCAATAAAAGCTTAAGGGTCACTTGTGTGTAGTCCTAGTGCAAAACAAGGCTACTGACTTTCTCAGAAGTTCTCTGAAAGGGGAGTAAACTCTTGAGTAAAACCTTAATCCAGTTTTGAGGTAGGGGAAAAATGAAATTCTAAAATTCAGCTTTGTAATGATTTTTTTTCCCCTCCACTAATTTAGAGATTCTTAGAGTGACCTACAAGTCATTCAATGTCTGTAGAATGACATATTTTGAAAACCAGCAAATGTAAAGGGTAGGAACAGGAGCTTTAGTGTATTTGTCAGCAGAATGAAGATAGAATGATTCCTTTGCCATGTAGTTACCAGCAAGTTCACTGCAGTTATTTTTTTTAGTATTGCATTTATTTCTTTGTTTATTTAACAGCAGTTCAGTTCATCACTGTGACATTTATATGCATATTCGGTTGTTTCATCTTTTTTTCTGCAGAGCAGTGAACAAGGAAGTCACTTAAAATAGCAAAATCACAGAAACCCTTTAATGCTACTTTTAATAAGATTTTTTTTTTTTTTTAACTTGATGTACTTAGCTTCCTAATTCTCCAGCTTCCAGAGACCTCATTTGGAAGCAAAGGAAGTCATATCAAAATAATCCCCTTCCTAGCAGCAATAAAAGTCTCTCTGACTCTGGGCTGGGTCATGATTTTTGTTAAATTTCTGTGTTGTTAAATACATAGTGAGAAGTAGGCTACATTCAAAGCTAGGAAAATCATGCAGCTGCACTTCACTGTTCTAACTTGGCTCAGTACCATCCCAGTTAATGGTTAGCTTTGAGCATTTTTATCACTGCACTAAAAGATTACCAATGTGTATTTTTTGGTACGAAAAAAAGACTTGGCAACAAAACTGATAAATATCCTTGTGTTTTGTAGGCAAGAATACACATGAACTTGAAATAGGCAAATATGTTTCAGATAAGTTATGTTACATTTACTGTAACTTTATTAGGTATCTATTTTTTGAGTTTTAAACTAATTCCCACTGATAGTTGCAGTTTTGCAAAGAGGATGACTAGATACAGGAAATAGTCTTAAAGGCTTTCTAAAAGCCTAGGTAATCTCCATAATATAATTAAACTTGTTCAAGGGAGCAAGCTTTGTTAAAAATAGTCCCTCTTTCTGTTAGACTTAATGCATATGGGATTGTCTCTTCTGTTCGTTTTGTTACTATGAAGCAAACAAAAAATTAATAGTTGGTTTCAAAACGGATTTCACTCATGTTTTGAAGGGCAAACAGTGGTAATCCTCTCCTTTACTTAGGATTTAGCAACTTTTTTGCGGTAGTAGCAAGTGCATGTGTATATGTATGTGTGTATATATCTCAAGCCATAAAAGCCTTTTGTCATATTTTATAGAGATTTTTTTCTTTCATGTCACACTTGCACAGAGACAGTAATTATTTTGTGTGAGACTAGGATTCACAAATCCTTTTTGTTAGCATAGCAGTGCTGGTGCATGGATATCTACCTTGGCAGTGGTAGCAGCTACTCTAATCTTTTAACAGTATGTGTCCTCCTTAGTGGTTTTTTTTTTTCCCCATCTTCATTGCATTTACCTTCTTAATGGCATCATGCTGCAACTGTACACCTTGCCTTATAGTGCCTTGTCTCTGCTGCTCCATACTGAATTGGGAAAGCATCTTGCAATTTGGAAACTAATTTGGGTGTGGGCGTAGCTTTATAGATTACTTTTTCTTTCTTTTTTTTAAAGTCTTAGAAAAATAAGTGTGCTAGTATTTTCAGCAGTAAACCTTTTATAAAAAAGTGATGCTGAAAATAAAAATACTGAATTCTTGTTAGTGACTTACGAAACAGTCTTTTCTTTTTCATAGATACTGTGTTTTTCCATTTGCCACCGAGATATGGGGATCGAACCACAGTATATGGCGTCTCTTGCTATAGGCAGATTGAAGCGAAGGTAACTTTCCAAGTTGTGAATTATATTAATGAAATAATAGGCTTGATGCATTAACGACCCTAAAATTCAGTGGCTTGCATTACGCCAACAGTCAAACTGCATGATCAGCTTACATTAAAAGTCTATGAAAATGTGCACAGTAGGTAGCTACAGAATTTGAGAACTATTTCTTTCCCTTATGTCAGCAGGCATATTGTGGTCTTTTGAAATGTTCGAGGCAATTGAAAAATATGTTTTGGTTCTTGAGAGCTAATCCAGGCATCAGCACCAAGTAACAAATGAAGCTGACAGTCTGTCAGGTGGCCAAGTCATGTTTCCAGGAAGTAGGCCTCTTGGGTGGAAAAAGTTGAAATTTCTCCAGTGTGTGGCTATGAAAAATTTTACAGTATTTCCTGGGATGTGACCATGCAAGTGTAGGGATGTTTCTCTTCACCTACCTCCTTTGCCAAAAGTACACTTGCAGAGTAGACTAGAATCTTCCCATTCATTGTAGCTGCTTACCAATACTGAACTTCTAGCAGTAAAGCTGAAAAATTGTGTGCACCTGATCACACTGAGGAAATTATGTACTTGATGTACTAGAATCTGTCCATATTTTCAAAAGTAGTTACGGTAGTGTGATCTGTGCACTTACAATTGAGAAGTTACTACAAATTCCTTTAAAAATTACTCCCTTTTCCAGTGAAGTGCCAAGAATCTGGAATGCCATGTGGGTTTGAGTTTTAAATAAGTCTTGTATTCAGATGTAAATTATGTACTCGGGTTTAGTGTTAATCATACGTTGATTATATTTCAAGTTCCTGTTTATGCTATAGGAGAAATTTCACACATGCAGATTTTAATTCTGTTTCTTTTGAACTAAATCCATGTTGATTTCAGTTCACTCATTATCTTTGCAGCCAGTCTTAACTGTATTCTGTGATTTAGAGTCTTGCTCTATTTAACTATGCAATAACTTGGGTTTATTGTGCTTTTGATTCCAGTTTATGCTGTTTAGTAACCAATTAAGAAGATAAATAGGTGTTTAAAATTAACTCTTTGGAACAAGTAGAATATAAAACAATGTGTTTTATATGACAGCTCTACCACTCTTTCCATCTGTCCCTTTTGATGTGTGGGCTGCAGTCCACACACTTGCTGTTTTTTACAATTAAGTGAATCACTTGGCTGTCTTTCTGCCCCCATCCTTTGTAGGTCTGCTGTTAAGTGCTGGGACCATTTGGTCTGGCTGAGAATGTAGTTGATTCTGCAGATGATACCTCCTTTATTTTATGGGTGGCTCAGAGAAATTCCTTGAGTATAAAGCAAACAATTTCTAGGCAAAGACTTTTCAACTGGGTCCATTTTCACAGATGATGTTAGAGAAGAACGAGTGATGTGTTGTGGCTTCTCTTCTGTTACATTACCCTGACTTAAAATGCCACTGCCTTTTCCAGGGCTATTGCCTTTTTCTCATGCCAGTGTCTTTTAAACAGTCCTCTGCCTGTCATCACAGCTGTATTTGGATCTTTGCTGTGCACAGAGAGATAAGAACACAACTCTGACATATCAGTGTTATGACTATTTTTACTAGGTAAGGGCATACTGTTGCATGGTTTGGGTATTCCACCATTGAAGACAGTTTTAGGATTTTGTTTAAAAAGGGGGGTGGTATGTGGCAACTAGACCTGTGAAAGAATTCTTTTTTAAATTGTGTGTGGGTAAAAATACTGTAATACTTCTATTTCTTAGGCATTAAAAGTACGGCAAGCAGACATCACCCGAGAAACAGTACAGAAAAGTGTCTGTGTTCTCAGTCAGCTGGTAAGAATGCTTGTTTAACTCCAAAAACATTTTCAAACAACAGACTAAAATAATTGTTTTCCATATTCTCATTTGGAACTTTTGGCTCCAAACATCTCTCTTTAAATCATTGCAAAGGGTAACAAAATACTGAAGCAAAATTGAATTGGAAGGCTATGGCATTTGAGTGAGCTGCCTTGAATTGGTATCTCTTTGTAAGAATAATTGTAGAAGTGTCTGCCTGTTGTCAGGGTCCTGGATATCTATTTGCACTTTTGATTATTAAGTGCTACTAACTTTATTTCATGTAGTAGGATTGAGGGGTGTGGCCATTATAATAACTGGAGAGTGTCTGTTGACAACTGAAAGAGGTTTTAAGGTAGTCACACATACAGCATACTCTTGTTTTGAAGAAACATCTTGTATTTCTACCTATTTAGCAAAAGCTACTGGTCACCCGGCAGGGAGCAGAAATTCTTTCTGTGCTTAAAGCTGAAGAAAGAACTATTACTGGAGCTGCACAAGCAGTGTTAAAGCAGGAAAGTACTTTTCCAGAAAGGTGTTCAGTGATGGTATGGTACGTGCAAATGGAAAGAAAATAGAATTATCGGCATTTAAAATGAGCACAGGAGAAAGATGGTGTGAGTTAGTGACTAAGGACTGCCCCTCCATGAACTCTATGTGTAATAATGTGTCTATATTGCAAGATAAGAACAGGAGAAGATTAACGTTCAAAATGAGTGGTTAAATAAGTTTTCTTCACTTGCTTTTGTGTTTGTTTTTCTTCCAAGCCTTTGTATGGGTTACTTCAGGCAAAGCTGCAACTCATTACACATGCATATTTTGAAGAAAAAGACTTCACGCAAATTTCAATTCTAAAGGTAAATTTTAAGCAATAGCCACACAGAACAAAGCTTTCAGTGTATGGCTACGGACTTCAGTGTTTTTAATTATTGCTCAAATGTTCCATTTGCATAGGTCATACAGTTATTCAGCTCTTGTAATAATTTGACGTGAACTAAATGAACGACCCTAATCTGACAGAGGGTCAGCTTTCTGATTTGTAATGAAACACAAGAATGAGTGTGATTGTCAGCCTGTATCTCCGTTGACTCCATTAGTAAAATTTTACTTTCTTTCTGGAACAAGACATTGAAATCCTTGAATAAGTGAATTTTATTTATTCTGAATTTTGTGTGACCATATGCCATTAACAGCTTCTGGATTTTTTTGCCTTTGTTCTAACTTTTACAGGAACTTTATGATCATATGAATAGTTCCTTGGGCAGTACTTTGCTAGAAGGGTCACAAGCTTATCTGGGTGAGTGACTTTTTTTGGACAAGCAGCAGAGATAATGTTACACTAATCAACACATTCCCTTCCTTAGCTAATTTATTCATGTGCATTAACAGATTAAGCACCAGAGGTCTGTGTGCCTGCATAGTATTCTGTTATGCATTTCTTTTATGAATGGATTTAAATAAATGTCAAATAAATGTAGTGTTGCTTTTATAATAGGAGTTAGTGGTAGGCTGAAAGCCATGTTACCTCTTGACCTAAGAGTCTGACAAGCAACTGCTTGGCTGCTTTTGGGAAACGGTACCTTCTTAATTTTTAGATTGAACTATTTGATGGTGTGGGGTGCTCAAGCTTTCATCTACCTGTTATTTGGGCTATCTCCTATTTGATTCTGACTCTTCCCTGTGTTTTCTGAATGCACGGTGTAGTATTTACTTCAGTGTTTCCATAATGCTGTGTGGCAGCCAACAGGAGTAACTCAGAGCGTGACTATTTACATTATTATTGTCTCCATTGTAGACTTAACTCTTGCTCCTGCTCAAAAGAAAGAATTTGATACAAATTCTGCTATTGAAATAATCAGGTTCACATAGAATGCATAATGGCTGTCTACCTCCCCTGAAAGATGGTGACAAGAAGTAAGTTAGTATCTCTACTAGCTATTAAACTGTAGTAATTACTCTCTTTTTGGTATCTCAGGGCTGTCTCCTCGGGATCTTGTTTTTCACTTTAGACACAAGGTAGGCGTTCTCCGTTAAATATATAAATTACAGCACTTATTTTGTGGAGTAAAATGCTTTGTGAGGAACTGAAAAATAAACATGTCCAGGCATACCTGAACTACAAGTAAGAAGACTGTTTCCTAAGTACTTCTGGTTACAGCCTCCTAATTTCCCTTCTGCCTACATGACTTCAGTGAAAGTAAGTTCCAGACTGAGAAGTTTTGTCTGTCTGCTGGATACCCTGGAGATTTCTGGGTTTGTGTAACATGTCTTTAGTCCTGTCCCAAAGTGCAAGTGGTGTCTCATTTATGATCTTGTTTCTATTTCCTGCTTCTTGTCAGATGAATGTGATGGAATAATATTGCTAAAGTCCATGCAGACACAACTTGGAGCATTTTTCCCTGTATCTTGTAATTTTTGCAGCTTCTGCCATCATAGAACCTGAGGGGACTTGCACCTCTCCTTCTTTTTCTTAATGACTATTGAAATTGAGCATGTATCCTACAGCAAAGGTACAAATAGCATTTAGAATCTTTTATTAACTGAGAGGCATCAAGGAAACAAATTCAGGAATTTGGGTTTCATGGTGTATTTTCGCCTGCTCAGTAGATTTTTGGGGTAGAACTCATTTTTGTTTAACTTCAGATGTCTGCCAGTCATGTGCCAGAAGCATCAGTGTTTTTCTTTGAGTGTAGAGAATCTGGACAGCCACTTCTGATCTAGATGCCTCATCTATAGATGCCTAAAATTAGGTGAGGTGAATGCTGTTCTTGGTATTTTGTTGAATTGTTTTCTGTATTTCTGTGGAGGAGCTCTTTTATGTTTATGCAGTTTACTGTTTTTTTAAATTCTGGAATTATACAATGTGTTCTTTCTGATAAGCTTTTTATGATTCAAATCAAACAATTCTTGTTTGTGCAGGTTTTTCTTTGTGCATCTCAAATGCTATATTAAAATGAGGGCTCAGGTGGAGAAAGGGTACTGGAACACTGGGTTTTACTGGTCACCTGTACTTGATCATTTGACAGTTATGCAGTGATTAACATGAAATCGTGATAAGAGATTATGCTTGCACAGTATTTTTGATAAATGGCACTAGTTCACTCACCATTTTTTTCCTTTTTGTGTTTTTTCAGGTCTTGATCATTTTTAAATTGATTCTTCTAGAGAAAAAGGTAACGTTTTGTAGGCTAAGGCAGGTAATTTACATAGAAATGCAATTTTGAAATTTTTTTTATATGAAATTGTGTAGAATATACTAGTGAAAAACAAATTAAAGTAAAATAAAGTAAAATAAAAGTATCTGAAGTCATATCAACAACTTTGCATCCATATATAAATTGGGAAATTATGCTACACATAACTGCTGTGTGTTGATGTATAAATTTGCCTCTGCTTCTGTCCATACTCCACCTTATTAATAGCTGTCCCAGCCAGAGTAAGTAAAATGTGATTAAATATGAGTGGAGAAATTTAACGTATTATAAAAGGTAGGAAAGGATACACTTAATGCAAATAGGTACCTGTGTGAAAGAACCAATAGGAAATGCTAGTACCTAAAAGACAGCATACAGCTTTACAGGTATTCAGTAAGTAGAACTTCTGGTTTGGGCTAGAAGTGTCCTTCAGACCTGAGTTGCTTGGACACCTGCAGGAGACAGCGTAAAAAGCTGTATCTGTTAGGTCAGGCTGAACTCAGATTATAAATTGGTAAAAACTGTTGAATTCTAGGCTCAGTGTTTTCTTTACTTTCCTTACTCCCTCAGAAGCAATGCTATCTTAGTAATTTAAGTGGAATATGCAAAATGCACAAGCAGATGTGAAATAGTAGATACGTTTATTTTCTTCTATGTATAAATACCCTGGAACAAGAACTTTCAGTGAAATGACTGTGTTTCAGCTCCCAGACACATTTATGCAGGGATTATTTTTTGTTTGCTTTTTTAAATTTTTTTGTTTAAAGTTTTGTTTCCGTTTCCCAAATGTCACTTTTTCTTCAGTGAACCTGCCATGTTAAACCCCAGCTTCTTCAGAGTGCTGAGAGGGAACATAAGAATTTCCTGTTAGCTGCAACTGGGAAGTCAGTAGGACTTAATCTGTAAGATATTGAAACAGTTGTGTGGCTTTTTGAAGTCTGTATCCAAGGCCTAGGTACCTCTTGTGAGGCAGTAAAATATGGCTTTTAAAAATAGAAGTAGCAGCCTTTCCGAAGCTTTTGCACTTGTCACTTAATTCTTTGTTAGGTATACCTTAACAGTTCTAAGTATTTATAGGTGAGAATAAATGCAGTTTCTGCATTAAAGAGCCATATACTAAAGACTGCTATATTAAAGGCCATGCAGAAGGTATACTTGAGAAAATATGATTATGACATAGTAGGAGTACACATGTAGAGATGTATGTAATCAAGACTCAATATGGAAGCTTTTTCCAAAAAAAACCTTAATACATTCTGAAAGTCTACAGTGATTTTTATTTTTTTTTTTAAACCATAAGTGGAAAAAACATAAAAAATATTTTTCAGTTAAGATTTTGTAAAGTATCTCTATTGATCTGTTTAAAAACTTATGATAGCATTTTGTCAGGTCAGTTCAGCATTTAGACATATATGAACAAAATACTTCACTGAGCTACAATTCTTTTCTGAAGCTGCTTAAACCACAAGACATAAATGCACAGGAAGAGGGAAGAGGGAAGGCTTCCCAAGCATGTTCCTGACTCAAACATACGAAATTGTTTTGAAAATAACTGGATGCTTATTGAATAAACGGGCAGGTTGCTTTGCTTTTGTTTTTTCCCTGAGCTCCAACAGGAAGATAACACTTGCAATTTCAAAAGGAAGAGTTTTGGTTTTCTGGCACTGCCTGTTTGTTGGTAGATGTTAAGGTTCCAGAATAACTGTGGGTATCTGTATGTTCAAAGACCTTAAATATAATATGCAAGAAGCCACTAGTAATGCCAATTTTTCTTGAGCTGAAGAATGCCTGAATGCCACAGACAGATTTCCTTTAATCCTTAGCAATTCGATTGATGCCTTTCCACAGGCTAAAGGAATTTTTTTCACCTCTCAGCTGTTTTTAGGCTAGAAGACTACTTCCAGCTGGCGATCATTTGACTTTTCTGCTGCCCAGACCACCAAGTTTGCTGATGTAAATGTTGTAGGCAGTATAAATGGGGCTGGGGGGGTAGGAGGTGTGCACTCATGTAGATGGAAAGATGGCAGAGGGACTTGATGGAACAAATACAGAAAAATACTTGGCTTAGTAAGCGGTATACACAAACAAAAACCTAGACTGGAATAGATTTCTTGTAAACAAGGTACTTCTTTATAGACTTAATTATTTCTGTAGGTTTAAAAATAAGTTTGGCTAGGAATACATGGTATCATAGAATCTAAACCTGTAGGGTTATCATGGGCTTTCTGTTGTAGTTCATTGCTAATGTATCTTTCATACATGCATTATAGAGCAGCATCTTAAAAGAAGTTAGACTTTTTTATTCCCACTGAAGTCAGCCGAAATTCTTTCCTCAGACAAGCTGCTTGTTCTTATCACCATGCTTTTTCTGTGGCTGTTGCAATCAGAATTCACTTATCTTGAACATAGAAAAAAAGAAAAATTGTACAAGATAATATACATCATCTATTTCTAGCTGAGTCTATTTCTACCATCGCTTGCTATGTGTAAGGACTGCATAGGTCTTTCTCTTGGTTCCACCGATTCACTAGCTTGTAGACTTGCAAATACTAGTGGAACATGAGTTGTTATTAATCAGTCACTTCTGCTGTAAGCTAGGAAGACACTTTAGAAGTCTTTTATTAAGTCTAAGTCCACAAACTTGCACTTTTAATTTCATCATATACCTATTAAACTGGCCTGCAAAGTCATCAAGCTAGATCATTCTGTATTCCTTTGCATCATTGTTGATTCCTTGTAATACTGAGGTATTTTTTACTAGTATTGTGCTGTTTGAGGATGCAAAAATGGCATTGTTAAACAAGTTGACTTCTGTGGGGTTTTTTTTTTGTTTGGGGTTTTGGGGTTTTTTTGCTTTCCTCCCCTTGAAGGCCTGTCTTGGAGGAACTCCAGTAGTAATATTCAGTCTGCCTTCTGTTTCTTCTCTCATTGCTAGCCTTTGACACCCCCCTTTTGAATTCCTAACTAATTTACTAATCCCAGTCTCTCTGATTTAATTAAGGAGATTCTGTTTTCCCATGTTATGCCTTAAGTGCTTTACCAAAGTTAGTATCAGTCATGTCTTCTGTTTCAAAAAAAATCTTTTTTTTTCAATCATAGGTAGATACCTGTAATAAATGCAGGCTGCATTTATCCTGTTTTTCATTTATCTGCATAGCTTTAATATATTTTCTTAGAGGAGATGTTTTTGCATAGGTTTTTGTCAAAATTCTGGAATGGAGATTATCTGGCCTCTTTGATATAAACACAGAGATTTTAGTGTACTACAAATGAACAAGAATCTATGCGGTGTGCCAGGAACAGCTTTTTTCTGTCAAGTCATTCAGTAACTGGATCAATTTAGGAAGAAAATCTGAATGATTGACAGAAAAATCTGAAAGATTAACAAGTATATATATAACATATATGTTACAAATATTATATAAGGATACAGTAGACATTTAAATATTTACTTTGAACTGATTTAAGAGCTTTTGTTGGTAAGCAGACTTTCTAAAATAATGTAAAAAGCAATGCCTTGAATAGTTTGTATGTGTTCTATCTTTGTCAAGCTTAAGTGTAATTTTATTTTTCTCATTCTCTCCTCCCTAATTCCCCTTTCCTCTCTTGCACACTGTCTTCTCCCCACCTCCATCCCTTCTGCCACCAGGTGCTGTTTTATATTTCTCCAGTAAATAGGTTGGTGGGAGCTCTGATGACTGTCCTGTCACTCTTTCCTGGTAAGAAGAGAAGTTTGGACTTCTTTTTATATGCTTTCTGGTGATAAATGAGACTGGTTGTACTGTTTCATTTGGAAAACAACTTATGTGACAAGAGTTATGTTGGTATGTTGCCTGAAAAATGGGTGACTTCTGTGCATATCCGTATACTATGTACACATCTCCTAGTACTTACTGCTTGCACTCTATGGGTTATTTCTTGTGCTTAATCAGAGCCACTGTATCTTCTGTATTGCCTGTGGGTAACATAGATGGGACCCTGAATAAGTCACACATTCCTGTCAAGTTCCTTAAAAAAACCCCCAAAAATACAAACCTCTCTCTTCCTTCCACATGCACTCTTCAAAAAAAAAAAAAAAAAAAAAAAAAAAAAAAAAAGAAAAGGAAAAAAACACCCAAACAAAACCCAAACCCCTAACCTTGCTAATTCTTAGCTTCTAACCGGTCTTCTCAAAGCAAAAAAAGTTGGGGCAGATTCTTTAGGAGAGAAAGTGTGGGGTTTGGCTCTTGTGGTGTTTTTTTAACACCCCCCTCCCCAAAGTGGTGTTTTGAAATACGTGATTTCCACTTTGAACACAAGAGGACTTTGTTCATTTTCTTTAACAAAAGTCACTTAAATTTCTACTGAGATGCTGATACTCATGCATGCTGTCCCTTTCCAGGTATGATTGAACATGGTCTTACTGACTGCTCACAGTATAGACCAAGAAAGAGCATATCGGAAGATGCTGGGTTGCAGGAAAATACACCATGGTTAGATGACTATGTTTCTGTGTCTGCTGCTGATAATTCAAATACAAACTTAGGAATGGGAAAGGGAGGCAGGAAGATGGCAGGAAACCATTCCCTGGAAGGTCAAAAAGCAAACGTGCCTTTCTCCCAGTCAGAGAAGACTTGCAATGGAGCTCAGTCCTCCAATGGTACTGTGCAGCGCTTGAAAGTTCCTTCCCGCACTTCTCCAACATCCTCTGAAAGTGACTGGGAGACCTTAGATCCTAGCATTTTGGAGGAGTCTAATTTGAGAAAAGGAGAACATGAAAATACAGCATCAGAACAGGCTGAAAATCTTCCAAGCAAAGGCATGAGCTCAGAAAGCCTTCCAATCACTGTGCAGCCCCAAGCAAATACAGGACACACGGTGCTTGTTCCAGGACTGGTATCTGGGTTGGAAGAGGACCAGTATGGTATGCCGTTGGCTATTTTTACAAAGGTAAACATGTTGTTCATGATACCTGGTAACTCATAAAGACATCTGTTTTTCAAAGTGGTTAATAATTTTGGTTACCCAACTCCAAATGGACAGTAGAGTACTTCAAAACATGTAAGTACAGTCTCTGTCAAATGACCGTGTTCCTAGGCAGGTAGAAAGTGTCAGTGCATGTCTGAGAGCGGCGTGTGTGTGCACACATGCATTCCACTCTTCTTTCATATGTATACTTGCACACTATTTGCAATTCTACATGATGGTAACCTGCAGCCCCACTGTGGTTAGTAAATGGTATGTATCAGTACCGACTGTTTTCTTTTACTCTGAAGAATTGTTGATCTGATCTATATGGGGCAAGATCAGAGTACTTAAGAAGTGTTTAGATACCTTAATCTAAACTAAGATTCTGCAAGCTGTGTCTTAGCTGACACCTAAGCCTATGTTTTCCTCTTTTATTTTTTTTATATTTATATATATATATTTATGTATTTATAAATGTGTATGTGTGTATATATGCACAAAATGTATATACTGTCTGTGTGTGTATACACACACAGACAAAAATATAACTATATATGTAATTTCACCCTTCTTTACATGGTAACTCTTCCTGGTTGTCTGTGGCTCTTTCCCTGTGCATGGTGCTGACTTGCTGAATTTTAAACTTGCACTGATGCCTAACTGAACTCCAGGTGTTCCAGAGTCTTTCTAAGGACTCTGATGAGCATTGTCAGATAACAAGCAATACCTTTACTAGGGCTGGTTTCCCATAAAAACCAGGGAAAATGTGTCCCTTTTAAAGATACTTTTGCCAGTGAAAGAAGTGATACACTACATTTGTTTTGTTTTGTTTTTAATAACCTTTTAGATGAACATTTGCCTGGGAAGTAGAAGATTCAGATTTATTTTCTCAAGCTGATGAGGTTCGAAGTGGTGTTTCTTCCTTTGGAGGTGCTTATTTGCATTTCCTTGCAGAACATTGTATTTGATGATTGTGTTTGAGCTTCTCACAATAACTTTCATTGGAAACAGTACACTGTGTGGGCCCAAGTGAGCAGCTCAAATGTCATTGCCCTGTGTTGCGTCATGTTACTGTTAGAAATGCTTTTTCAGTAAAGATCTACAGTCTGGTGTTTGTCCTTATGGTCTGTCTAATCAAGAGAATAGCCTGTAAATTGTATTTAGTCTAGTTCTATTGAAAATACTAGATTGAAAGCAAGAAGAAAATAATTGATAAGGGGGCCTACAAGTGCAAACTTAGTTTGCTACTAAGCTTATAAAATGGAAAAGTAAACAATTTTAAGGAAGCTGACAGTTTTTACGTGTTTACCTTCTGTTCCACAAAGGCGCTTTTCATTTGAGTTCATCCGATTGTAATTAAAGCAGAAAAGGCTTTACATCTCTAAGTTATCAGAAAAATGTGTTTCAAAGTTATAGTTTAACTACTTACTGGAAGGTTTAAATCTCTTTTAGAGCTCTCATCTCAGTGTTGTTTTATGCCATGCCATAGAAAGACTAATAAATCTGACAAATTTGAATGGGAGGATATTTTGACAGATGGCATAATAACATATCCAAGTACATTAGAGCATAAGGAAAAATATGTTCTTTAGTACCAGTTCTGTAAGATCTAACGCTCATTTCATTTGCACTTTTTAAAAAAGAATGGAACATGTTCATGGAAATAAACGTTGTTATACTTAGAAAAATGTGAATTCGGGAACTGACACTTGATACTTTAAATAGTAAAAGATTTCCAAGACACTGCTACTTGAGTATACAGTAATTAAACCTTCCCTTTGACAGCTTCTTAAGCCATATTTTTTGAAGAATTTCCATTTTAGGTTGATGATTCCTCTCAAAGCACCATTGTTCCTTTGACACAGGCTGTTTGTTTTCTGCTGATAAGTGCTTGTCATCTGGAAAGCCATCCCTGTGTCTAATATAACAAAAAGGAATAGTTGTGCTCCTTTCTTCCATATGTTTCCAATTACCATGTACTATGTGATGAAGTGCATATGCTCTTTGTTTCTGTCCAGTATGCTGTTAGCCCTTCAGGGTTTCTACTAGTGAATAAACTGCTTTGTGCTTTATGCAATTGAACAGCTGAAATTATACTTCAGTATTAGACTTCAGGGGTACCTTGATCCTATATTTAAAAAGAAAATTACAATACCTATAGCTGCTTCTCAGTGATTTCCCTCAAAGCCTTTTTTCAAAATGTTTGGGGTTTTGTTGGCTGTTTTTTTTTTTTAATTGGAATGTAGGATACTAGATTAACTTAGAAATATGGAGTGGCTAAAAAGCAGAGTGTGTTGCTTTCCATCCTGCTCTTTCTTAAAGTGGGCATGCATATGCTTATCAAAAATTGACTGATATCTCTGGAGCCTGGAAATCTCCACTTATAAAATGTGGACAGCAGTCTGTAGGTCTCCTGCATTATGTGCCTCAGGACTACCAGAAGACATCATGGTACGCAAGTGGAGAGATGCATCTTTATTTCCATTGACTTCTTGTCTCTGAACTGACCTGAGATTTCACTCTTGTTTTATACTGCTTATTCTGTTGCCTTATAAACATGTTTGATTTCTGTCCTTTGCATTGTATTTCAGTTTCAGTCCTGAGACTGAAAGGTGACACAGTTTTTTTTTAAATTGAAAATTTGAATTCATATGGAATCTGGTTGCTTTGCTTTGCAGATGTAATGTAGCAAAACAATAGATAATTGTGGCTGAAATTGTAATAAGCAAGGCTCATTCTGGGTAGAATGTGCTGGCTTTTATTAGGAAAAACTGAATATAGATAATTGGTGGGGGGGGGTTGTTTGGATTTTTTTTTTGGCCTTACATTAATCTACTAAATATCTCTGTTACTTTAGGGGTACCTTTGTTTGCCATACATGGCACTGCAGCAGCATCATCTCCTGTCAGATGTAACAGTCCGTGGCTTTGTTGCGGGAGCCACCAATATCTTGTTCCGTCAGCAGAAACATCTGAGTGATGCAATTGTGGAAGTATGAATCTTTTGCATTTGAACTGCTTGAACATGAGCGGGGTGGAGCAGGGGGAAGTGGAGGTTGCATTTTAAGTATAGCTTTAAAGTTTCACATTCATGCCCAAATTTTTAATTACTTCCCTATGAAATCTTAAATGCAGAAGCTTGTTAAATTTGTATCATTTGTTAGGATAGGATTAGATAAGCTGTGCAAAACTAACACTAATGTTTTTCTGTATATTCTTCTATCCAATATTTGAATTTGCAGGGCACTTCTTAAATTTTTGTTTTGTTGTTGGTGTAATTTTACTTTTCATGTCATGGGCTTTTTCCATGACTTTGTAATAAGGTCTTCAAAAATAAGTGCTTGCAGCTGAGAAACAGATACAGTTGGATAATAAAGCACACTGCTCTTGACCTCCTTCTGATTTAATCAAGAGGTTAAAAAAGTAGTATCTTAGGAAAACACTGTGTTGGTTCTAGCAAATAGGTACAACTATATAATCAGCATTTGGTAACCTAAGATAGCTACATATAGGTAACCAACTTAATAAATTGAAGCAATAGTCAAAGAGCCTCTAGGAAAATAAATGTGAGCACCAAACTTCCCCTGCCAAATCCTGTCAAATAAGCAGCTTTTACTATGTGCCAGGAAGATGATCATAATCTGGTTATATCAGAGCAGTATCTGACTTTGAGAACAGTTAATTCATTATTTCTTTGGCCATTTGTTTCTTCTTGATATTTTGGGGGATGTGAATTTAGATTTAGGCAGCAATATATAGTAGTATGTATAAGTAGTTTTATTGAGATAAATGTTTACCGTTGGAATTATTTCAAACAGATAGAAGACGCTCATGTACAAATCCATGATCCAGAACTCCGTAAGATCCTGAACCCAACAACTGCTGACCTAAGATTTGCAGATTACTTGGTGAAGCATGTAACTGAGAACAGAGATGATGTTTTCCTTGATGGCACTGGATGGGAAGGAGGAGATGAGTGGATCAGGGCTCAGTTCAGTGCTTATCTTCATGCACTGCTTGCTGCTGTGCTGCAACCAGGTAGAACAGATACCTTGTCTAGGGACTGAGATGAGGGTGGGTGTAATAAGCATTTGTTTTGTTGTGTTAAACATGTGGCCTGTCGTTGGATCTCTCTGTGCCTAATATTTCATTTTAGGCTGCTTTTTCGGTTGTCCTTGGCTATTCTTGTTATTCTTTGACAAGCTTATTACTAATTGCTTCACAGCCTTACAGACATTTTATTTGACTGTCTCCTCCTTGATTTAATTAAGCTCTCCTCCTAAGCAGAAGTACCTGAAACCCCATATATGATGAGACTTTTACAAACTTGGGTGTCTTACAGACTGTTGCAACTTAAAGTTAATTGTGGGTAACGGATTGGATTCAAGGAGACATGGAGTTAAGTGACTGTCTTCAGGAAGTTTTACTAGGCTGTTCCATCTCTTCTCTCTGCTATGATCTTAAGTAGGGATTCACATAAGTGAAAAGTGTCATTTAGAGGCTTTATAAGCTTACGTTTTTCTGGAGCTCAACACTTTTTGTCTTAACTCTGAGGGAATTCTCTGTGTTCCAACTTTTGTGCATAAATATAACTAAAAGAATCAGTGTTTTATTTGTGGAAAATGTTTAGTTTGCCCAGTGCTACCCTGTTAACTTCATTCTCGTCATGATTATTCTGTATTCATATCAATTAACTAATTCAGATCTTGTTCTCTGGTATTTGTGAGAAACCATGGGATTGAGAACTTGATTTTAAAGTTTGGAAGATGCCAAGTTCTTTGTCTGACAACATTAATCTTTTAAGATGATTACCTGGTTGATATGAAATGTCAGGTTTTTCTGGAAACTGATACTACTTCACTGGCTGGCTTTAAAATTATTTCCTGTACTCTTCAGTGTGCATTTGGGGTGTACTAAATTTGAATGAGTAATAACATAGTACAGCAAAGCTCAGTGTATCTGACCAAGACCAATGCAAATGATGGTTTTGCTCTTAGTTGCTATGTGGCCATTGTCTCCCCTTTCCTGTCTTTGCCCAGAGACTAAGTCGAGGCCCATGTTTGGATGACTTCCCCCCCCCCCCCCCCCGGCCGCCTCTTTT